CTATGTCGGTTACTCTGGTTCTACTGCGGAATTCCTAAGTTTATCACGCAGAGAAACTCCGAGCATAGAGTGTAATGCCACCACGGAGGACGGAATTAAAGAGCCTCTGAAGGACTTCCAGTACCGGTTTTCCACCCGCTTTCAGAAGCTCCGCTGTAATTCCATCCTCGCCTAGGGCCTTGCCGTTTTGAAGATGCTGGAGAGCCATTCTATTCTCGCTCAGACTGGCGTCCGGGATATCTTCGGAATAGTGTCGGATAAGACTCGCTCTTGGATCGTTACTCACACTTGCGTGTGGCTCCAACGATGACGTGTACAGCTGTCCATAGAACCTCTCAATCTCACTCAAAATCTGAGGTGCCCCGGAAACGATGCTGCCACATTCGGTCTTCAGCTTTGACAGTTGGCTCTTTCTGGTAGACAGATCTCTGGCAAAAACTTTGAAGCCTTGGTTCCGCTCGATCGCTTCTTCAATACAAGCTGTATTGAAGTTGCGTAAGTCCCGCCGCATGCATTTGGAAATCTGTCTGTTCAGTTGCCTGTATGCTGTCAAATCTGTTGAAGAATGTAGCTTCATCTTCCGTCTAACAGCCATGAGATTAAGAGTGTGATCGGAGAGTTTTTGTGTTCTTCTGCGGCGGGTCTTGCAGAACTTAGCTCCGACCACATGGACAGTTTCCACGAGGTTGTCATTCATATCGTCCACTTCATTGCAGTCTTCTAGGCACTGAAAACGGTTTTGTAACTCGAGCTGAAAGGTTTCGAGACTTTGGAACAGAGCACGAGGGGGACGGAACGTTGACTTCATTAGACGAGACCTCTCCAACTTAACGTTTAGGTTCAGTGTGCCTCTAACCATTCGGTGATCGCTACCAGTTTTCACCCTCGCGATCACGGAGACATCACTGAACAGTTGTCGTCTGGTCGTCATAATGAAGTCAATCTCCTTTTTTGTCGAACCGTCGGGGCTCGACCAGGTACACTTCCTGTGGGGCCGCTACTGGAAGAAAAAGTTCATCATAAAGAGTCCCTCTTTCTCCATGAAGTCGGCCAGCTGCTGGCCCCTTGGGTTCCGTTGCCCTATTCCAAATTTCCCTACTTTCAGCTCACCGTTCTCTCTTGTGCCTAGTTTTGCATTGAAATCTCCCATTAACACCGTATATTGGGTTTTGGAGGAATGCATGGCTCTAGAGATATCCTCATATATTTCCCCCACCTCCCCATCGGGGTGTGCCGAGGTTGGTACGTAAACCTGTATGACCTTCAGCGAATACCGTTTGGTGATTCTGAGTATAAGGTACGTAACCCTCGTCGACACACTCCCGATCTTTACAACGTCGTTAACGAGAGACTTGTGGACAATAAATCCGACACCTCCTTGGGACAGATGGTCGCCCACCCGGTGATAGAACAAGTTGCCGGATTCGAGGATTACCGTGTCCTTCCCCTCCCTTCGGACTTCGGATTATCCTATAATATTCCAGCGCAACTTGTCTATCTCTTCTTCCAGCTCCAGGATCTTCTCGTCAGTCCTCAGAGTGCGTGCGTTATAAGTTGCCAGGTCTTTGTTGCTCTAATCATTGGGGGGTATTTGCCATAGTTGACACGCTTGGCGAGCGGGTTGGCAACCGCAGTCTTTTTATTGTAATTTTGGCTATTATCAGGAAGATGCTGCTGTCCATCTCCTGCCTGTTTCCCTTTGTCGCTTTTTACGATACCCACGGGAAGATATGGGGTAGTGGATATTCTTGACCGCCACTACACGGCACTAACGCGTTTAGTGATGTAAAATATCTTATAACACTGAATTTTCAAATAAAGCCAGGAAAAAAAGTAATTTCAATATGTTTATCATTCTCAATAGACTTTTAAAGAAGGAACGTGTTGAACAATGGCACAAAGGACCAAAAGCCATTCCAAAAATATAAAAATAAAGAATGAATGATAGGCATTCATTTGTTTGACGTTATGCAGTCGTTCGTTTGCTCTTGCTACGTATTGTATTGTGCTATTTTGGAATTTCTGAAACCCTTACAACTTTTGCATTTTCCACGGACTTCGATACGTTTCAATTACAAGTTCTTTGGCTTGTGTTATACGGATACCGATTTAGTGCCTTTTGATTAGGATCTAAGACGTTATCGCTCTTGTTCGAAAGAGTTATGGAGCCGTCTACGAGATTGTTTTGTATAATGTGTAACATATGTGTTAATATGCTTCAGTGTTGTTGGGCCCTTCAGGTTGATAGCAGAGTCATCTCGCTAATTAGGACTTGGATATCTCCATTAATAGTAAGTATAATAAAGTACCTATATTAACCAATAAATCACCTATATACTGTCTACATATTGAAGTACGTATTTAAGTAAAGAATTCCACCAGCACAAGTGGAGCTTGATACTCAACAGTGGTTCTTAGATGCCTTAAAGAGATCGCCGTCTTATTTGCTGCATAATTCGCCCGTGGACTTTGGATAGACTGTCGACCTGCCAAAATTTTGGATGGTATTTAGAGGACAATCAAAAACAGATTTTACTGAGTGAGTTTGTTCCAATCACGGCATGGAATCTTAGAACAAAAAATTTGCGACCATACACAAACTGTAGTTTAGAATATAATATTTCTTATTACCACCGACTAAGCTTCAAACTGTCATAACTTTTATTCAAAGATTAATAAGAGGATACAGGAACAGGATACAGCTGTGTGCTTTAATTTTTATTACAGTTTTGGATTTGATCGAATGAAGTTACACTTCAGTTAAACTCCGTGCTTATCCTCTCACGTTCAAAATAATGATACAAGTGTATCCTTCATGATGAAGTGTACTTATTGTGTTCCGCATTGCGAAAGCAAGCGTCGTAATTTTAAATTGCCGATTACTGAGATAGGACTCAAGTGGGTGGAAAAAATAAATTATGAAAAATTAAAGCAGCTCAATGCAGAAGAGCTACGAAAGTTTTTAGTGTGACACAAGCACTTCGAGGCGAGATTTGTTACCGGCAGTTTGCGTCTTCACCATTTTGCTTATCCTACCTTATTTACGGCTGACAAAATAAATACTGGAATATCTGCTCTGGAAATGGAAAACTATGGTAATCTACTTATTTACCTATTAGGGATGCCTTCCTTGATCTTGTATTTTTAGTATAATTCTGCATAACTCTTTATAACAAAGCTCTTGCAGAATAATCTGTCAATAGCACTGAAATTATTGTCAATTCTAATTTAAATTTTGTTATCTAACTAAAATCCATTATACCTAAACTTTTTTGTTAGTTTTACATTATTACATTTAAGTCTACAACTGCCATTGGTTCATGAAATCAAGTATTTAGGTTTGTGGTTACAATGTTCACTTAGATAGGGGGAAAACATATTAATGAGTTAACTCAAAAATTGTATAAATATAATAACAATTAAAAATCATGCCAGGTCCACGGTGGGGTATTCATCAAAAACATATCAAACGATTGTATATTTCTATTTTTCAAAGCAAAATTGACTATGCCAGGTTGCTGTATGATAATAGTTTTCAAACAAATATGTAGAACTTGAACAGGTTACAAAACCAAGCTTTACGTGTAATTGTTGGTTTTATAAGAAGTACTCCAATCCATGTTATAGAAAATGAGCTATCTCCCACCACTCCAACACGAATATGAAAACTGGTACAAAGATCTAAGGACAAACCCAGAGTGGTTTTTTGGATCCGAATTCTGAATGAGTATGAAATTTAAGATTTATTCCGACATTTTCGATTATGAGTATTAAATTGATTGCTATATCTGAAGCTCTATCATATATCGATTTTTGCCATATTTGACATTTGCGAATTTGTCATTTTAACTGATTCTAAAAGTTCCCTACAGCATTTGGCTCGTTGCCCTACCACGTTAAAATATAGATGCAGCATGGCTCTACCACGTTGTTTATTTTACTTTTTTTTTTAATTTTTTATTGCATACAATATTATATTACATAAACACTGACAATAAACTATATACAAAATTTACAAATAACCGACCTTAATACTAAACAGTGATCTGTTCCAGGCAAAACTATAGAGAAGGAGATTATTTTTATTAAAACATACAATCATGTGCAACAGTCATGCACCCTTAGTGCATGACTTCGAGTACATATAAGCTGTATTATGTAGAATATAAGAATAAAAGATAAACAAATAACATTATGCCATAAAGATAACAATAATTGCAGTAATTTAGGAATTTTACAGCCCACTATGCTGATGGAAAAGCTGTAAGCTCAACATTAAAAAATACTTCAGAAGTTGTGTCATTTTTCGATGACTTATTTGATTCGTGTAATGGAGCAGCTCTTACACGGAAGAACAAAGGGAAGCCCTTAAAGCAAGCTGTAACGAATTCATCGAAGCACGAAACAAAAAAAAAATTAGAAGAAATGAGATTTATTAATAAAGAGGGCAAGGAGTGTATTGTGCCCTCTAAAAAAAATTTGTTTGTTTAGGCAAAAATATTAAACATTTGAAACGTGAATTTTAAACGTACGTTAGAAGCGTAGCATCGATTGCAAGGTCACCCGCTCTCCGCCCGGTCACTTTCCACGGGCGGTCTCAGACGGACTTCTCGAGAAGCATTGTAAAGTTTTTTGCGATTGAGACTGACGTCTTAGTGATTAGCGCCTAATTTGTTACAAACGTATAGAACCCGCTTAAATCGTTGCGTCGACGAGAACACGTATTGTTCTTAGGACTTATTAACTTTTGTTAAATTAATTGTGCAACTCCGATAGTGATTTTCCTTTGAAGTTCTTCGTTTGCCTGTACCATTACGTGACAAACAGAAAGAGTGCCTCAAGAAGGGAATAGTTCCGGGGCTACCGGCGGATACCTTCTCCAGGACAGTATTGTGTCATCTAGCCCAGGCCACTTAAACACAGATTCATACAAAGAACACATACATTCACTACATTTCCATCAGCTGGAAATTCAAAAGTAATCACAAAAATAATATGTTATGTTTTGTGCAGATACCGGTCAAGCTCAACCAAACCAAAACCAAGAAACAATAAATACTTCAATACCAGAAAGTAAGTAAATTATAAAGTATATTCAATTGATAATATAATATTATTCCTACCTGTTAGGTTTGGGTAGGGCTTCATTAAAATACAACACATTTTAGAAGGTGATCAGGTAGGTAAACTTTGACATAATAAACCATTCTGTGTTGTTTTCAGGAAACCAGAAAGTAAGTAAATTATAATTAATTGTTTAGCAAGCGGTGGTAGCCTAGTCGGGGAACTCCTTGCCTGCCAAGCAGAAGGGTGTGAGTTCGATCCCAGGTCAGGCCTGCACTTGCTCATGTGCAGATTAGATTTAATTACCACTTGCTTTAACGGTGAAGGAAGACATCGCTAGGAAACCTGCTTGTCCGAGAAGGAGCCATCCTTCGAAGATAAATGAAGTCCCCAACCCGTAATTTGGCCAGCGTGGCGGACTAATGGCCTGCACCCCTTAGGGGAGACGCGTGCCCAGCAGTGGGATGTATATGGGTTGAATAAAAAAAATTGATAATAGAATATTATTCCTACTTGTTAGGTTTGGGTAGGGCTTCATTAAAATGCATCACATTTTTCAAGGTGATCAGGTAGGTAACTTTTGACATAAAAACGGGTTGTTCAGGCTGACTGACATACCTGATTAATTGCTGAAATGTGAATAGTCACTTTTGTGAAACCCTGTAATTATAATGTATTACTGAGGCCGACTTGCCTCATCCAGAGTAAAAAATAATAACTATGAATTGGGCAAGTCGGCCTAAGCGTGCATTGTGTTACTTGTAGAGATATGGGTGTGAAAATATAAAACATATTAACTTAATTTTTTTTGCCAACAGAGACCCTCTCATTACTGGACGTCGTCGACGGGCTTCCTGTTTTAACAAACAGTGTACTGCTAGGTAGGATATCTATGTTTATATATTTTTACCCTTCTGCGGCGGTTTGATTTTCACCGTCATGTATATGTATGTATGTATGTATGTATGTATGTGGTGTTAATTCCTACGTTCCCTGCTACAGTGTAAACTGTTAGGATGATTTTCAGAAATGACGCATCAATTGAATTCATGTTCATTTATTAAAATAGGTAGGTACTGGATAAATTTTTTGTTTATATTTTTCATTTTGTCAGATTTAGCAGAAGATGGCGAGGGGCGGCTAGCTCCGGTTTCACGCCTAGGTACAGTAGGTAGTCCTCGGTGCCGATATGAACAAACTCCGAATCTCGGCATCGACGTGCCAGCAACGCCATCGCGTGGTCAAGGATTAACAGGTAAGAAGGTTACTAAGATGTTTTACTTTTTATTGGTATATGGCGTACCCATCTCGCGTTGTCTCGGCGAGTGTGTACAGTCGGCATAACATATTATATATATAAATATATCGCGGCGACCAAAGTGGTCAAATATACACGCTCTTGCTCGTCCTTGACAATAAAGTCTTGTTCCGATATATTTGACCACTTTGCACTTTCGTCGCTACGATATGATCTGACGCTGACCCTACTAAAAGTGCCGATTCACACCGGCATGGCAGCGGCCGGCAGCGGAGGCACTTTCAGTGTGAAATAATTGTAAACCAGTATCTATAGCTAGAACCTCGACAAGGCCGTGCGGCCGCCCGCTACGACGCTGGTCTTTTCCGCCTGCAACTGACTGTGGCGACGTGTCGCCGCGAACCTCGGCCGCGCTACCTTATCGAGCTTATCGGGCTACTGCCCGCCGCTGCCATTCCGGTGTGAATCGGCCCTAATAGACACTGTTTATTATTTTTTAGGTTACCAAGGAAAAGTGCTGTCAATATTGTCGTGTATAAAAACCCAAAATGGCCAAACAATAAGTCTTTTAAAGCATACAGGCACATTGAAAGTTACTCTAAAACCGGAATTACAATTTCCAATTCAAAATGCCGATGAATTAAATACAATTGAATCATTATTGGACATCAAAGAAAATTTTGATAATTTGGTAAGTTACAATACAATGACTCTTTATTGAACACCACATCATAAGCATTACACAAAAAAGATACATACATAGTGGAAATTTTCACCAATAGGCGGCCTTGTAGCTTCAGAGCGATTTCTTCCAGGCAACTTACATAAGAAAGAAAGAAGGAACAACTTGGAGCAGGTGGTGCAATATATAGTTATTTAGTTTCTAATAAAAAAAATACATAAAATAAACACGCATACATATACTCATGTTTTTCAATGTAATTTCATAAGGTGTTGTATCTGTTGGCAAGCCTTTTAATGAATAAATAAATACAATACATAGGTACACACAGCTTTATGTAAAAAGCTATTTCTATCTTAACTCATTTGGTCTGATCAGTAATTGATTTGCTGTTTTACATTTTTTTTGTATGTTACAGGTTTCATACATGAGAACTTTTGGAGGCAGGGATATCTCCAGCAAAGTGTCTCGGGTAATGAAATTTTGTTTCACTGACCAGATAGCTGAACAGTATAACTTCTATGGGAAGAGATCCAACAAAAAGCCTTTCTGCCAACTTCGCCTGCGAGAGTGTGTCGTGGTTAAGTTTAACATAATACGTGACTATAAGGCCGTGAAAATCGGTTCAGGTGTTTCTGAGATATTCAACTTTGAAATATTTCGAAAGTTAGTTCAGAGTTTAAAAGCCATGGCAGCTTCGTGGTTTGACCTGCAGCCTCTCAAGCAGAAGGTCGTGGGTTGGAACCCCAGACTACGTGCGTAATTTCGCAATTTATTTTGTTATTAATGGTAATGGCGGATGTGTGTCATGCAAACATTAGCTGCGTATATTAAATTAATGTAATACTGATAAATTAATTCAACAAGTGCTAAAATATTTTCAATAGTGACAGTGTACTCTAATTTCGATGTGTAAGTGAAATTAAACTGTTTCAAACAACCAGTGAATTTATAAATTGTTAATAAGCATATCAAAATATCCGGCGACAAAATTATCATTCATCAGTGAGAACTTAATAACAATTACAACATAGTACTCAAATTCGCCGATCGAACTTAACGTTGTAATGGCGTAGTGGATCCGTCGTCCGGAATTGCACTCGATGCTTGCATTGTCGACGGTTCAAATACAAGACGTAGTCAAATCGTTCCTTTTTCTGCATTTTCAAAATATTGAGACAGATTTATTTGACATTCAATTTTTAAAGGAGAAAGAAAACAAATAAGACACAAGATTGAAAATGAATATCGTAAGAAAAATCTTAAAATATTTTATATTAAACATAAAGCAAAACTTCTTTGATGTCAAACACAAGTCATTCAAAAAATAGCGGCCCCAAGATGTCATAACTTGTAAGTTGTAATAAATGTAAAAAAACTATTGAAGCTAAAAATTCACTGCTATGTTTGATATGTAAGAAATATTATGAATTTGATTGTATTGGATATTCTGAAAAACTATATCGCTTAAAAGATGTAGAAAGTAGAAAAAATTGGAAATGTAAAGCATGTAAGCAAAGGTCAACAGGACCATCTACACCTGTTAGTGATCCATCCTACGTTACAATTAGAAAAAAAAACTCCTTATCTGGCTCGAGTGGAACTACGACACCTACGACAGTGATGTCAAAAACGAGTGAATCAGCGATGCATGACTCCCACATATTAACCACTCTTCACTCACCAGAGGATTCTCAGATCACAACTAGTCAAATACTATCACGGAGTTATGAATTCACAAATACTGATTCAATTACGGTTCAGAAAATGAAGGATACAATAAAAAATTTACAGTCAGAGATCGCAAGTACGCAAAATGAGCTAGATAATACTCTAATTGAAAACAATGACCTTCGGAGACGAATCACAAAATTAACACAAGAAAATAATCTACTAAAAACTCTTTGTCAATCACCAATAAAGGATAAACAAATGAAACACCATAACACAAAAAATAAGAAAAATATTCATTCTACTCATTTCAAAGTTTTATATTCGACATCAACTTCTACGCCCTCAAAGATATTCGAAATAAATGATATAGACAATGTATTTGATTCTGAGACATGTGTTATCTTAAAACAAAGAATTTCGGAATTAGAACAACAATTAAAAAATGCTGAAAATGAAATCAATACCCTTAATGAAAAAATTCAAATATTGGAACATAAAATGTCTTCAGAGAATGTATGGTCTTCAAACAAACTCACACAATACTCTAATACGGTAATTCCCGACATCAGAAAACAATGTGATAAATGCAATAAAATATTTATCTTTGGCACACAACAATGCATTGGGCTAGCTTCTGCTTTAATACGCTCAAGAGCAAATACGGCTTATGAAAAATATACCATTTATTCGGAAACAAAACCACATGCACTCACGCCCGATGTGCTAAAAGATATCCAAAATACGCAGGTAGCCTCAAATGATAAAATTATAGTGTGTGTGGGAGAAAATGATTACGACCTGAAAATACTATCTTCACAAATATACGCATTAATTAACTGCTACAAGTCAAATAGTATACAAGTCTTAAGTTTGTTTAAAAATAAGTACATATGCGTCAAAGATTTAAATAATACTTTAGAAAATATTTGTAATAAATTTGAAAATTGTCATTTTGTGAATTGTATGCCCAATAATTTATATTTTATGTGTAAAGCAATAAATTCTGTAATTGACTATACTGATTATAAGAACAAATTTCTAAGTGTCAAGCAATTAAAAAAAATTATATTTCGGTGTAATAATAAATCGACATTATTATCTGACAAATCGAGCAACTCCATATATCAAAAAGGAACAATTCCCTATTATTTTGCTCGAATGAAATCGAGTATAGCTGTATCGGCTGTAACTAATAGCAATATTTTTTATGATAATAATACAGCGCCTAAAGGTACAATACCGTATTACTTTAAAATAATAAATAAAAAACATTTTTTTCGTGAATAATAATAATACAAATAAGATTTATTTTAAAATATTACATAAAAATATTGCTAGTATATTACCAAAACAAGATTTATTAGTGTTAACATTAGATGACTTAGATAAGGCAGGAAAGGCCCCTGATGTCATATGTCTTTCAGAAACGTTCTTGCGTAATGATCATGAAAAATACTTAAACATTAATAGTTACGAATTAGCCAGCTCGTTCTGTAGGGATGAGTCAAGAGGCGGTACGTGTATCTTAGTGAAGTGGGATATTCTATATAAAAAGGTAAATAAAATAAATAGTTTAGCAACAAAAAAGATATTTGAAGTTTGTGGTATTGAGATTCCGCTTTATAATTTGTTTATAATTTGTCTCTATAGAATTCCTTATACAGACGCAATTTTGTTTTTGGACAAGTTAAACGGAATGTTACGTGAAATATTTAAAAACATTAATCCTAATACTAAACTTGTTATTGCTGGTGATCTGAATATAAATACTCTTAAACCAGGAAAAGCCAACACTTATCTGCATGATTTATGTCATAATTACTGTCTAAAAATTCATATTAATGTTCCAACTAGAAAAGAGACATGTATAGACCATATTCTAAGTAATATAGAGAATGCTTCAGCAACAGTATTGCTTTTGTTTCTATCAGACCATGATACAGCGCAGTTATTAAGTTTCCGGGTTCAACAAAAAAACTCATTGAAAAAGACATGTTTTAAATACAAAAGAGATTATAATTTAAGTAATATTCGTAAATTCAAGGAATGTCTAAATAATCTATCACGGTGTGAAACATATTTTGAAAATGACCTAAACATTGCATTTAATAACTTTTATTATTTGTTTTGCTTATTCTATACTCTGCTTCCCAAAAATAAAAATACTAATTAAAATTAGTAATCAAAATAATTGGATTAGTAAAGGTTTGAAAAAGAGCTGTAAAATAAAAAGAGTACTACGGTATCAATATTATAAAAATAAAACTATAATAAATAAGAATATTTATAGAAAATATTCTCATTTATTAAAAAAATGTATCAACCAATCAAATAAAAATTGTAATATATAATTTATAAGTAACAGTAAAAATAAATGCAGGGCAACATGGTCCATCATAAAAAGTGAAATTTCAAATACAAGATTGGATAATAATATTAAGGATCTAAAAATAAATGATAAAAACCTAACAAACCCTTATGACATAGCTTTTAATAACTATTTTATTGACATGACTAATTATATCTAAAAATAAATGATAAAAACCTAACAAACCCTTATGACATAGCTTTTAATAACTGTTTTATTGACATGACTAATTATATTATATCTAATAATGATAAAACAGAAAAAATTACGCCTGATAATACAATATTATTATCAAATTCAATATTTCTTAAACCCATGTCGAAAGATGAGGTGAATAAAGGTTACGATGGAATTAATAACAAAATAATTAAATCATGCGCATGCGAACTTGTTGACATTATGACTTATTTAATTAATTTATCATTTTCGACAAGAACATTTCCCGACAATTTAAAAATTTCTATTGTAAAACCGTTGTTTAAAAAAGGTAAAAAAGACGATATCAACAATTATAGACCGATAACTCTTATATCTTATAGACCGATAACTCTTATTTTGGGGTATCTATAAAGTTTTCTCATCTGGTTGGGCAGTATAAATATATAATTGTAAATGAAAATGGTAAACATACATAAATATGAATAAAATAAAATAAATACATAAAAAATACATAAATATATAAAAACCCAACCAGATGGAAGCCCTCGGCAGGGGAGATCAGACGGCCGAGGGTTAGGGGGAAAGGGAAAGAAACCGGCGGACGATGCGGGCGGTATCGAGGACCACCGCCTTCTGCATTTGAGCCTGGAGCGGTCCGTCACGGAGTCCCAGTCGCCTCAGATGACCCGGGAGGCTGACTGGGATTAACCCATTCGCAGAAACGACCACAGGAATAATTTCGGTCGGCAGACCACCCCACATGCCGGTAACCTCGTGAGCCAGGTCCAGATATTTTGTCACCTTATCTGTTTCGGCTTTCACGAGGTTCTCGTCATAAGGAATGGTAATGTCGACCAAAAAGATCCTTGAATGTGCCCGGTCCATCAGCACAATATCAGGCTTATTCGCAAGAATAGTCCTGTCTGTGATGATGGCCCGGTCCCAGTAGAGCCTGGCGCGGTCATTTTCGAGCACGGCTTCCGGCAAGTACTTATAATACGGCAGTTTCCGATCCACGAGGCCGTATTTCAGAGCGAGCTCCTTGTGTAGAATCCTGGCTACTAGATTGTGTCTGTGCAAATACTCAGAGTTAGAAAGCGCCGAACAACAGGAGATGACATGCCTAAGTGACTCACCGGGATGGCGACATGCTCGACAGATGTCGACGGCGCCATCCTTTAGGATGTATCTCCGATAATTGTTGGTCTTAATAACCTGATCCTGTATCGCACAGACAAAACCCTCGGTTTCCCCAAAGAGGTCACCGAAACGTAGCCAGTGAAGGGAGGCGACTGTGTCTACGAAAGGCTCATGTAGAGCCTTGTAGAACCTCCCGTGGAGCTCCTTCTCCTTCCATACGGTCTCCCGGTCGGAAATGCACTGTACTGCTGGGTCTTGCCATTGCTCGTTGGCTAAGGATAGAGGGGTCAGTCCTTTATCACAAGAAATAACGTCCCTATAGTATGGATCATCCGCTCTCGTCAGAAAGTAATTACGGAGGCTGCACACTTCGCGATTATGCATGGTAAGCGCGCTTAAAAAGCCGCGCCCACCATGCTTCC